ACGGGCTCACACAGCCCAGAAACAGGATAAAACACCCCAAAATGAACTAAAACACCCCAGAAACAGGCTCAGACACCTTAGAATCAGGCTAGACCACCCCAAAGTGGCCTAAAATACCCCAGAAATGGGCCCAGACACCTCGAAATGGGCTGAAACAGCCCCAAAACAGGCTCAGACAGCCCCAAAACGGGCTCTGACAGCCCCAAAATGGGATAAAAGACCCAAAAATGAACTAAAACACCCCCAAAACAGGCTCAGACAGCCCAGAAATGGGCTAAAACATCCCAGAAACAGGCTCAGACACGTTAGAATCAGGCTAGACCACCCCAAAATGGGCTAAAACACTCCTGAAACAGGCTCAGACACCCTAGAAACGACCTAAAAGACCCAAAAATGGACTAAACCCCCCCCCCAAACAGGCTCAGACACCCTAGAATCAGGCTAGACCACCCCAAAATGGGCCCAGAGACCCCGAAAAGGGCTGAAACAGCCCCAAAACAGGCTCAGACAGCCCCGAAATGGGCTAAAAGGCCCCAAAATGAACTGAAACACCCCTGAAACGGGCTCAGACACCCCAGAAACGGGCTAAAAGACCCCATAATGAACTGAAACACCCCTGAAATGGGCTCAGACAGCCCAGAAATGGGCTGAAACACCCCGAAACAGGCTGAAACACCCCAGAAACAGGTTAAAACACCCCTGAAATGGGCTCAGACGCCCTAGAAACAGACTAAAACACCCAAAAAGGGCTGAAACACCCCAGAAACGGGCTCGGACACCTCCGAAATGGGCTAAAATGCCCCAGAAACGGGCTCAGACACCCCAAAAATGGGCTGAAACATCCCGAAATGAAACAGAAATAGGCTCAAACACTCCAAGTGGGCTAGAACACCCCGAAAACAGCCCAGAAACGGGCTAAACCACCCCAAAAATGGGCTGAAACACCCCAGAAACAGGCTAAAACACCACACAAGGGACTAAGGCAGCCCCGAAACAGACTCAGACGCCTCAAAATGAGCTCAGACACCCCAGAAACGGGCTGAAACGCCCCAGAAACGGGCTCACACCCCCATGAAACGGGATGAAACATCACAGAAACGGGTTCAAGCACCCCAGAAACGGACTCTGACACCCGCGAAACGGGCTCACACCCCCCCAAATGGGCTGAAACACCCTGAAATAGCCTAAATTACACCAAAACTGGGCTAACCCACCCCAAAAAACAGGCTAAAACCACTCCAAAACCGGGCTAAATCACCCCAAAATGCACTAAATCACCCGAGAAACAGAGAAAAATACCCGAAAACGCCCCAGAAACGGGCTCAAACGCCCCAAACCCGCACAAAATCACTGAGAGATGGGCTAAACCACCCCAAAACGGGCTAAAGCACCCAAAACCAGGCTATAACACCCCAAAACGGGCTGAAGCACCCAAAACCAGGCTGTAACACCCCAAAACGGGCTGAAACATCCCAAAACGCGCGGAACCACCCAAACCCGGGCTAAAACACCTCAAAGCACCCCAGAAACGGGCTAAACCACAACAAAACCGGGCTATAGCACCTGAAAATAGGCTGAAACACCCAAAGGACGAGCTAAACCACTCCAAAACCAGGTGAAATCACCCAAAACCACCCCAAGAAGAGGCTATAACACCCCCGAAACGGGCTGAAACACCCCGAAACACCACAAAAACGGGTTACGCCACCCCAAAATGGGCTGAAACACCCCAGAAACGGGCTAAACCACCCCAGTAACGGGCTAAACCACCCCAAACGACCCCAAAAAGAGGCTCTAACACCCCAAACCCGGTTGAAACACCCCAAAATGGAATGAAACAGTTAAAACACGGCGTAAACCACCCAAAACCACCCCAAGAAGAGGCTGTAACACCCCGAAGTACCTCAACAACGGGCGAAACCACCCCAAAACGGGCTAAACCCACCCCAAAACGGGCTCAAACACCCAAAACCGGGCGAAACCACCCCAATAACGGGCTAAACCACCCCAAAATGGACTAAACGACCCCAAAATGGGCTCAAACCCCCCAAACCGGGCTC